CAATCCTCAACAATTCAATTCAAATAATCAATTTAATTCAATTAACCAATTTAGCCAAATTATAGCATAAACACATATAACGATCCAAACCATTAAATCTATTCTAAATGCTATTAACTTCATAGTACGGACCTGGATTACGCCGAAATCGAATCGATAGCTCGAACGGAAGACAAATCAACGAAATCAAACGAACGGGTCAAATTGAGTCAAAATACGAAATCGACCAATCAATCCGGCGTGGAGGTTAATCTGCCGGCGATATCAATCCGGGGCAGCGGCTGGATGCGGCGACGGTGACAGACGCCGGCGATAGTGGCGTAGCGGTAGCTCGACGGCGATGAGCAGCGACTAGCGGCGCTGCAATTCGACGGCAATGATGGCGGACGCCGGTAGGGGAGGCGACGTCCAGTGGCGAGGCGTGGCGGCGCTGGACTCGACGGCGAGGAGGGGCGGCTACTGGCGAAGGAAAGGCAGCGCGATTGGAGACCGTCGTCAGCGGCATTGACCCTGGCTGGAGGCGACGGGCTTCCGGCGAAGGAAAGGCCGCAGTTGGCTGGTGCGGCGAAGAGGCGGAGGTCGATCGGCAAGGGAGGACGACCGACGAAGGAAGCAGCGGCGATTGGCGGGGAAGGGCGACCGGCGATGATTGAAGACGAAGAAGGAGAAGAAGAAGAAGAAGAAGAAGAAGAAGAAGAAGAAAGAAGAAGAAAAAAGAAGATAACGATCATATGGCTGAAATTAGTTTAGGTTTTATCTATTAATTCCAATACTAGTGGTTTGGGCTCCGGGCCCAAAATACCTGATTAAATGGTCATAACATGAGCTCCATAACTCCGATTCGCGAGCCGTCTGAACCGACGCGATCACAAAAATATTTCCTACGAGATGACGTAAAAGTTGGGCTTAGAATCCAAATTATAATTTTAACCCTTTTTAAGGCCCAATTCGTAATCAATTGCTCTAACAATTTAATTAATTCTTTTGGGCCAGATTTCGGGGCGTTACAAACACACCGTCATTGACTATGAGACTAAGTCAAACATCCAACACACACTAGTCTCACATGCATTAACGATATCCCACTCTCGTTAATACTCGACTATGGACATTCAGATAAATATTTATTTCAAGATGTTGGTCTCATCAGCAGAAAAAACACTATCTGATAAACATCTTTTAAATATAAATCTAGGAATATAATATTTGTTTAGATTAGCATGAGATGTGTAAACATATTATATCTGCCTATACATGATAGAATAATGATAAACACTTGGCCATCAGGGCACAACTCCAACATTATTTTCCCCAAATTCGGTCCAGAAAAGTAATTAATTAAATAAATTAATCAATTCTATTAGACCGGGTTGCAGGGCGTTACAATTATCCACCCCTTAAGAAAATTTCGTCCTCGAAATTTACCTGATCACTGATCGCTGAAGAGATGAGGGTAACGGATACGCATGGATTCCTCGGTTTCCCACGTCGCCTCCTCAACAGTGTGACTTCTCCACAGAACCTTGACTAGCGGAATGGTTTTGTTCCTCAACTGACGGACCTCACGAGCCAGAATCTCAACCGGCTCCTCCTCGTACGTAAGATTCTCATCAAGTGTGACCGTACCAGCTGGAATTACATGAGAAGGGTCTGACTGGTACCTCCGGAGCTTGGACACGTGGAAAACATCGTGGATCTTGCTCAACTCCGATGGTAACTCGAGCCTGTAAGCTACAGGTCCCACCCGCTCAGTGACTGGGTACAGGCCTATAAACCTCGGACTTAATTTTCCCTTTTTGCCGAAACGTAGGACGTTCTTCCAAGGTGACACCTTCAAGAAAACCTTATCCCCGACGGCATTCTCGATGTCACGCCTCTTAAGGTCACCGTAGGACTTCTGTCAGTCTGAAGCCGCCTTAAGTCGGTCTTTAATCACCTGGACCTTCTCCTCGGTCTCATGAACTAAATCTGGTCCTTCCTACCCCCTCTCGCTGAGCTCTGTCCAGCAAGTAGGAGTACGACAAGGTCTACCGTACAGAGCCTCGTACAGTGCCATACCGATACTAGCCTGGTGACTGTTGTTGTATGCAAATTCCATGAGCGGTAGATATCGCTCCAACCGTCCCCGAAGTCGATTGCACACGCACGCATCATATCCTCAAGAATCTGAATCACCCTTTTAGACTGACCGTCTGTCTGAGGGTGGAATGCCGTACTGAAATGGAGATCGGAACCCAATGCCCTCTGTAGGCTCTTCCAAAACTGCGATGTGATTCGGGGATCACGAATCGAAATGATAGATGATGGAACTCCATGTAGCCTGATGATCTCGCGGATGTACAACTCCGCTAACCGCTGAAGTGAGAAGTCACGACGAATGGGGAGAAAATGGGCTGATTTGGTCAACCGATCAACGATGACCCAAACTGTGTCGTGCTTACGTGGTGACAATGGCAGTCCCACAACAAAATCCATCCTGATGCGATCCCACTTCCACTCGGGAATGGTGATCTGCAGAAGCAATCCTGAAGGAACCTGGTGCTCGGCCTTGACCTGCTGACAAGTCAAGCACCGTGACGTGAACTCCCTGATCTCCCGCTTCATCGCGGACCACCAGTAATGTCTCCTAAGATCCTGAAACATCTTGTTACTGCCCGGGTGCATGGTATACACAGTGATGTGTGCTTCGCGAAGCAGGCGTTCTCTCACCGTCCCCGCTGGCACAACCATACGCTCCCGATAGTACAAGATACCCTCCCGAACTTTGAAATCTGGCCTCTCTCCTCGAGAGACGAGCTCAACGGTCTGGATATAGAAATCATCGCTGCCCTGAGCCGATGCTATCTGCTCCTGTAATGTAGGCTGGACATGTAACACAGCTAGAGTCTTACGACTGAGGGCATCGGCTACCACATTCGCCTTACCTGGGTGGTAAGCGATGTGACAGTCATAGTCCTTAATCAACTCTAACCACCTCCTCTGTCGGAGATTCAGATCCTTCTGCGTTAACAAGTACTGAAGACTCTTATGGTCGGTGAAGATACGCGTCGTCTCACCGTAGAGGTAATGCCTCCAGATTTTCAAGGCAAGTACAATAGCTGCTAGCTCCAGGTCGTGTGTCGGATAATTACACTCGTGCGGCTTCAACTGCCAAGATGCATAAGCAACGATAGGGGTACATTTTTTTGTTAATTGAATTTCTTACTCACATGGATCCAATTCCTTAAAATTCCACAAGATATCCATATTTTTGACCGTATAACATTATACCAGTACTGATAACTAAACTACTTACTAGCATAGTTCCAATTTGGCTGATCAAATCTTTAAATTCATCAAATTGGATATAGTTAGGTCGAATTAGACCAAAACAGGTCTAAGCGGATCAAATCAATTAGGTGTGATCTAATGCATTTAAAGATTAGATTCGGCAAATAGGACATAGCGTAGAGAAGTATATAGATCTTTTTGAAGATTTGATCTGGACTTATTGGACATGAATTTGATTTGATCCAATTAGATATGTTTTTGTCTGATTTGATCTGATTAGGTCTGATCTAATGCATTTAAAGATTATATCAGGCAATTAGGACACAACCTATACAAGTAAATAGATTCCTGTGAAAGTTTGATCTGATCTTATTACATTCAAAACTCATTTGATCTGATTAGATCTGTTTTGGTCTAATTTAATCTAATTAGGTCCGATCTGATACTTTTAAAGAACTAGGACACAACGTATACAAGTAAATAGATGTTTTTAAAGATTTGATCTCATCTTATGGGATTTGAATTTCATATGATCCGATTAGATCAATTTTGGTAAGATTTGATCTAATTAGTTCCGATCTGATGCATTTAAAGATTATATTAGGCAATTAGGACACAACATATACAAGTAAATAGATCTTCTTTGAAGATTTGATCTGATCTTATTATATTCGAATTTCATTTGTTCAGATTAGATATGTTTTGGCTTAATTCGATCTAATTAGGTCTGATCTGATCCTTTTAAAGATTACATAAGGAAAATAGGACACAACCTATATAAAAGTTTAGATTTTCTTAGAAGATTTGATCTGATCTTATTGGTTTTGAATTTGATTTGATCCGATTAGATCTGTTTTTGTCCAATTTGATCTAATTACGTACGATCTGATGCATTTAAAGATTAGATCAGGGAAATATAAGACACAACATATACAAGTAAATAGATCTTTTTAAAGATTTGATATGATCTTATTGGATTTGAATTTGATTCCATCCGATTAGATCTGATTTGGCCTAATTCGATCTAATTACGTCCGATTTAATGCCTTTAAAGATTAGATCAGGCAAATAGGACACAACCTATATAAGTGAATAGATTTCCTTCAAGTTTAATCTCATCTTATTGGATTTGAATTTGATTCGATCCGATTAGATCTGTTTTGGTCTAATTCGATCTAATTAGGTTCAATTTTAATGCGTTTAAAGATTAGATCAGGCAAATAGGACACAACCTATACAAGTGAATAGATTTTCATATTGGATTTGAATTTGATTCGATCCGATTAGATCTGTTTTGGTCTGATTCGATCTAATTTGGTCTGATTAAATCTAATTAGATCCGACATGATGCATTTATGGATTAGATCAATAAAATATGACACGACATATACAATTAAATTGATTTTTTTAAATATTTGATCTGATCCTACTAGATTTGAATTTGATTTGATTCGATATTTTTGAAAATTTGATTTGATCTTATTGGATTTGACTTTGATTTGATCCAATTAGATCTTGATGGGTGTATTCCACCCACGACCGGTCAAAGGAGAAGACCAATTAGTTGACCGGTCAATCTCGAAAGTTTTGAAGGGAGACTTAAATCGTCAGCAAAACGATATATAATCAGCCAAAAGATGACCGGTATACTTCACGAAAAAGTATACCGGTCAAACTACGTTGTAATGTTATTTGTTCCCAGACTTCGATGAATTCATCCCTCGGAGATTACCCGGTGTAGTTTCTAGGGATGGAAAGTGTCGGCAGAAGAGAATCTACGAGGGCTTGGCGTGTAGCGACCCATGTCAGTAGAGGAAAACTTGAGATGCTGAAGAACCCATCCAAGGCACTACTCGACAAAGGGAATAATCCCCCTCACAAGGCGACAAGGCAGCTCAAGGACGAAACTAGTCACCTCGCACCACATCAGCATCGAGCCCCCACGTGGGCGCACGTGGTCCTGTCCCCTTAGCCTAGTATAAATACTCATGTAAACCTCAGAAAGAGGGATCCGAATTCATTCTCTCTAAACTCCCTTGTAAAAGCACCCGTGCATTCTCCGTTATAATATAAATTGGGCTACAGGTGTTCCACCTAAAGTCCTACCGGTCAATTTGCGTGTTTTACCTTTCTTACTTTGCCAAATCAAGCAAAATATTCTAGACCCGGTCTAGTATAGTTTGACCGGTCAAGTAATTTACACCATCATTTTTGGCGCCGACCGTGGGACCGTTATGGTTTCTTCTCCTAAACACAAACCTACCCACCAAAACACCACTCGAAATGTCTTCCAGCCAACAAATCAACGCTACTTCCGCTCAGGTGCAGGCCACCAACGAGGGTACCAGCATCCCTGTGGCTGCTACCATACCGGTCATTTCAGCCCCAGTGTTGCCTTTGGGTCTGAGCTCTGTCTCGACGGCCAGCGTGATCAGCCCCTTCGCGACCCCCGTCCCTTCCGCTGGACCGAGGGTCACATTCCCACCAAGCATGACTCAGTTCATGAATGACCTAGCCAACCTACAAGCCATCCAGGGCTTCGGTCAGGTCATGGCCATGTGCCAGCAGAATGGGGGGATGCCTTTCCTCCCTGGTATGTTCCCGTTCGCTCTTCCAGGCGCGGGAACCATGCCCCGATGGCGGTGACGTCGTTCAAGACGCCGGTGCCGCAGCCATCACCTTTCAAGCCCCAGCTGGTACGCACCATGGCCCCTGTCAACTTGGCCGGCGCACTTAACGCTGCAGGGCCGTCGCGTCCCCCGCAAGCTACGAATCCGCAGATCACTCCTGATGGTCATTGCGTCTCAATTGAGAGCGATGACGGCGAGTGGGACATCCCGAGGGCCCACAAGAAGAAGAAAGGAAAAAACATCCGGCCAGCGACCTCCCGAAACTCCGCCTTCGAAAGGCTGGGGGATAAGGAGGAAGGCGAGAGAAAGTCAGCCAAGCAAAGGCTGGGGCAGAGCGTTGCCCATGTCAGCGCATTCGCCCGGCTAGGAGAGGTGCGGGAGGCCGAGCCTGCCCGCACTTGGCGCTCCCGGTCTAACCGGCAGGAGCCAGCGAGGACGAGGGCCTCTCGTCAAGAAGAGGAAGCAGAGAGCCAGCCCAGGTTACCGGTGGCGAACCGGTTGACCATCCCGAATGACCGCGTCCAGCAGATGGAGGCAAAATTGGAAAGGCTGGAGAAGAAGGCCGGAGAGAAGAATGACCGGGACAAACCCCTGGCAGGGTCGCCGTTCACCACAAGGGTCCATTTGACACCTTTCCCGCGAAAGGTTAAGATCGACGCCCCTAGATTCACCGGGAAGGAGAATCCGGAAATCCATCTGGACTCCTTCAACCAGAGTGCGACCATGAACGGTTGCACCGATGAAGAAAAGTGCCTACTTTTCTTTTAGACCTTGCGGAACCGAGCCACTGAATGGTTCAATAAGCTTCGCCCGGGAAACATTGACTCGTTCAGTGATTTGGCCTCAAAATTCAAGGCCAAGTTCCAGGAGAATTGTACTAAGAGGAAGAAATTCACCTATCTTAGTACAGCCGGGCAGAGGGAGTCTGAGAACCATACTCAGTTCCTTACCCGGTGGAAGGAAGAGGTGGACAAGGTGGAAGAGATGGATGACAAGACCGTCCTCTCCCTCCTCTTGAATGGCTTGCGTGCTGGGAACTATACAAGGGGTTCTGCCGGAAACCCCCAACCACGTACCAAGAGGCCTACCATACTGCGTGGGAGTTTGCTGAGGCTGAAACTCAACTCCGGGCAAAGAGAGAAGCTGAGCATGGTCACAAGTCCAAGCCGGTGCAAGTCAAGAAGGAAGAAGCACCGGGACCTAGCCGGCCGAGGCACCACTATGACCCGGTCACCCGGGTGGTCAATACGGAAGAATGCCAAGAAGTGCGGAAAGCACCTGTCATTCCTCCAGAAAACCCTACCGGTCAAGTAGGGCGGTAGTGGTCGGGCACCTATTGTTCGTACCAAAGGTCAGATTCCCATAACACCTCCGAATGCAAGAGTGTTAAGGGGGTCATCCGGCAGATGATCGACAGTGGAGAGCTGGGCAAAGATTACTTGCAGAAAGCCCAGGAGAAGAGTCATCAATGGGTTAGGCCAACTGCCCCAGGGGATGACCGGGACAATGACCGGCGGAGGAATAACCGGCCAAGGGAGCGGCAACCTGCTCCCGAAAAAGAGCACATCGGCATGATCTTCGGCGGACCCGAGGGTGGAGATTCAGCCGCGCAGCGGAAGAACTGGGTCCGGAGCATTTACGTTGGAGAGGTAAGTGCTGAACCGCCCAGGCGTAAACATACTAGGAGGGAGCCGATCGTCTTTACTGACCGGGATCTCCCTCCTACCGGTGAAGATCACAATGATCCATTGGTCATCACCATGGACATTAATGGGGTGGATGTCGCCCGGGTACTTGTTGACACCGGCAGCAGTGTCAACATCTTATACCTGGAGACCTTCCAAAAACTCAGGTTGTGTCGAACACAACTTGAACCCCTCAAAACCCCTCTCTCAGGCTTCACGGGGGACACCGTTGAAGCTGAAGGATCGATAGTTCTACCGGTCGAACTAGGATCAGGTGAAAAGACCGTGTGGAGGAAGATGCGGTTCATAGTTGTGGACATCAAATGCGTCCACAACGCAATTCTTGGAAGGCCAGGCATCAATAGAGTCGGGGCGGTGGTTTCCACACTCCAGGTGGTGTGGGTGAGGTGAAGGGCGACCAGAGGAACGCCCGGGAGTGCTATGCCCGGGCAGTCAAGAAAATGACCAAGGGGGTCATTGTCATCTCCCAAGAGATCACAAAGGGAGAGACCCGGGAGAAATTGGAGCCCGAGGCCGAGACGGTGGAAATCGAACTTCACCCGGGTGATTCTTCGAGGATGGTCAGAATGGGAGCAAATCTCCCCGAGGATCTCAAGGCACAGATTACACGGGTCCTCAAAGAATACGTGGGCATATTCGCATGGAGCGTGGCGGATATGCCCGGGATAGATCGCTCTGTTATCTACCACTTGTTGGCCGTGAGGGAGGGAAGTCGACCGGTACGACAGAAGAAGCGGTACCTGGCCAGTGACCGGCGAGAGTTCGTCAAGAAGGAAGTGAAGGACCTCCTCAGTGTTGGTCACATCTGGGAAGTCAAATACCCGGATTGGTTGGCCAACGTTGTCCTTGCTCCCAAGGGCGACACATGGAGAATGTGTGTGGATTATACGGACTTGAACAAGGCTTGTCCGATGGATTCATACCCCCTTCCCAGTCCAGATCAAATGGTGGACGAAACTGCGGGGTGCGAACTCCTAAGTTTCATGGATGCCTTCACGGGTTTCCACCAAATCCACATGGCCAAGGAAGATGAAGAGAAGACGTCATTCCTCACACCCGAAGGAACCTACTGCTATCGGGTAATGGCATTTGGCTTGAAGAACTTGGGGGCAACCTACCAGCGCATGGTGAACAAACTCTTCAAGCCACTACTGGGAAAGACCATGGAGGCATACGTCGACGACATGCTGATCAAAAGCCAGGTATCTCTCAACCATCCAGCTGATATGCGAGCCACGTTCGATATCATGGCAAAATACAACCTCCGGCTGAATCCTAAGAAATGCGTCTTCACGGTTCGTACTGGGAAGTTCTTGCGATTCATGGTGACCAAGAGAGGGATAGAGCCCAACCCAGAAAAAATCCGGTCCATCACTGAAATGCAAGCCCCTACCTCCGTTAGGGATGTTCAAAAGTTGACCGGTCGTTTAGCGGCCCTCAGCCAGTTCCTTTCCCGGTCAGCTGAGAGATCCCTGCCCTTCTTCAAAGTTTTGAAGAAGGCCAACACATTTGCATGGGACGAAGAATGCCGGAGGGCATTTGAGGAGCTGAAAGAGTACCTAGCGTCGGATATTGTATTGTCTAAACCCGAACCGGGTGAAACTCTGTATCTGTACCTGGGAATTTCCCCAAATGTTGTAAGCTCCGTTTTAATAAGAGATGATGGGGCACAAAAGCCCATTTATTATGTGAGCAAAGCATTAAACGGAGATGAGAGTAGATATACGGCGATGGAGAAGACGGCCTATGCGTTTTTCATCTCCGCAAAAAAGTTAACATCCTACTTCCAAGCTCACCCGGTAGAGGTCTTGACTGACCAACCACTGGGTGCAGTGTTGCGAAATTCAACATCCTCCGGGAGGATGGTGAAGTGGGCGATGATGTTAACTCAATTCCACATTGAGTACCGGCCAAGGTCGGCAATTAAGGGACAGGCCCTTGTTGACTTCCTAGTAGAAATGACCGGTCTAACTCCAGACTTACCGGTCCACAAGCCCACTGAGCAATGGTGGGAGATGGCAGTTGATGGGGCATCCGGTCGTAGAGGATACGGGGGTGGTATCATGTTCACCACCCCAGAAGGGTTCATGATCTACCATGCAATCGTCTTCAACTTCAAGCTAACGAACAATGAGGCAGAGTATGAAGCTCTGGCTGGAGGGCTCAGACTTGCCCAAGCCTTGAAAATCAGCCGGGTCAATATCAAATCTGACTCTAGCCTGATAGTTGGGCAGGTGACCGGCAACATGGAGGCAAGAGAAGAACGCATGGCACAATACAAGGACCTTGTACTTGCCCTGTTAAAAGGCTTCGAAGAGTTCAAAATCGCCCAAATTCCCCGGGCGGAAAACGCGGATGCAGACCTTCTCTCCAAGTTGACGCAGTATGCTCCCGAGCATGTTTCAAAACTTGCCCGGGTAGAGATCCTTGACCGTGCAAGCATCGAAAAATTGGAAGTCGCTGTTATAACGGCCAGAAGCCAAGTTGACCGGTCAAACCTGGTCGGGGCGGACGACCATTGGATGTATGATCTGATGGAATATTTGATGGATGGGAGCTTGCTAGAACAATATGACCGGGCAAGAAAAGTGAAGCTCAGGGCACCCCGATTCCAGGTTCTCGATGGAAAACTATATAAAATGGCATTTGGGGGGCCACTCCTGAGATCTCTAACCAACCGGGAGGCTGAGCGAGTCATAGCGGAGGTACACGAAGGCCTATGCGCGGCGCATCAAATGTCCCGTACGCTTTCCCAACGCATCATCTTGTTGGGGTATTACTGGCCAACAATTGTCCAGGATTGTGAAAGGTACGTTTAGAAATGCAGGACGTGCCAAGTATTCTACAAGTATCCTGGTAGACCGGCGACCTACTACCACCCCAGATCGAATGTCATCCCATTCGCTAGATTCGGGGTTGATATCATTGGAGCCTTCCCAGTCGCCCAAGGAGGGAAGAAGTTTGTAATCGTAGCCATCGATTACTTCACCAAATGGATCGAGGCCGAAGCATTGGCCAAATTACCACGCAACAATGTAAGAAATTCATTTGGAAAAACATAATCACGAGGTTTGGAGCGCCCAGGAACCTCATCACTGACAACGGCCCGCAATCCCGAAATCCAAGATTCACCGAATACTTGGAGGGCTTCGGAATCAAGCACAATCGCTCTTCGGTAGCGTACCCCCAGAGAAATGGCCAAGTCGAAAACGCCAACCGAACAATTGTGGATGGTCTAAAGAAACGGCTGGGAGAAGCAGGAAACAAGTGGCTGGAAGAGCTCCCACACATCGTATGGGCATTCCGAGTAACACCCAGGAGGGCTCACGGGGAAACTTCATTCTCCCTAACCTATGGGTGTGAAGCAAGGCTGCCCATCGAAGCTGAATTCCCAACATTCCGGGAATCAAATTATCAACCCCAACAAAATGAAGAAGACCACTTGGCCGAGCTCAACTTGGTCGAAGAACGAAGAATGGCCGCGGAAGTTAAAATGAGTACATACCAACAAGTTGTGAAGAAGTATCATGACAACAAGGTTGGGCCGCGGTACTTCCAAGTTGGGGATGAAGTCCTACGAAGAAGAGAAGCAAGTAGACCCGGCGATGGAGGAAAGCTGGCAAAAAACTGGGAAGGCCCATACAGGGTTAGAGCCATCATTCGACCAGGAACGTATCGATTAGAAACTTTAGATGGTGTACCGGTAGAAAGAACTTGGAATTCCCACCATCTTCGCAAGTTCTACAAATGATTGTAATACTAGGCGAGGCCTAACCACATTATCAATCAAAGTGATGTTCAATACTCTACTTGGTAGCGGCAGAATTGATAGGTCGAACCTATCCTAGGAGGGCTTCCTGGGTGGATCGAATCCACTTGGATAAGCCAACTGAGACACGGGCCCGGACCTGGCACGCTGGTTACTACACCGGTCTTGCTCAGTATAATAGAAAAAATATTAATACCCAGAAGAGGGGCCCGGAAGAGGGTATGCCTGCAAGAGGGCTGGACCTGGAAGAAGGTTCGAACCGTACTTACACGGGCCCAAGAGGTTTGACTGGTGTCGGGGAATCAGCCGGCGCCGTCAAATTGATTGGGGACTAAAAGATGCCCATTAAAAGAAATAGAAGGGGATCGTCCACCGTGGTGCATCCTGTTTCCCCCTTCTCAGGGAAGACTTGAACGGGAGGGTGAGCTAAGGCCTTCTCGGGATGGTAGAAATCAAAGGGCCATCAAAAGACTTAATCACCCGGAAGAGGGGGCCCTGGAAGAAGGGTGCATTTGAACCTTGGAGAGGGTTTGAAACCATTCGACATGGTTAAATCTCCAGTATTCTTACCGGTTAAGGATACTTCAAGAATTACTAGGTCACGGGTGTTTCCATCTACAACCTACCGGTCAAAAAAAAAAAGAAAAAAAGAATACCCCGGTCGGGTATGGGCACAACAGAATTTCGAAAGTTCCACAAGGCAAGGCAGATGACCGGTCAGATCAGGGAGTGGAACCTACCGGTCAAACTATACTTTATCAAAGAATTTGTGAAGCTATCCAAAAAGCCAAAGTAAAGTTCGGCCGGTCAAACTTTTTAAGTTGGCCAAAATGATGAAGACGTTCGAAAAGCAAAAATTGAAGTTTAACCGGTCAAAGTTACTCGGGCTGATCCTTGAAATGAAGTGACCAGAGAGAGCTTTGAAGTTATACCGGTTGAACGCAATAGTGGTTGATTACTGTACCGGTCGAAAATCCTACGATGACATTCTAAGGAGCAAAAATGAAAACATCAACCAGGAAGCAAGCTTAACCGGGTAGAAAAACAAACATGGCATTTAAATTTGGAAATGTCAAATGTTTACAAGTACACCGGGCATACCCGGGGAAATTTTTGCTAAAAGTTTTACAAAAATAACCGGGCGCAGCCGGGGAGATTAGTCAAGGGGGAAGGGGGGAGTCGGCTCTTCTTCCGGGATTGGAGCCAGGCCGTAGATTGCCGCGCTGAAGCTCGGGTCTGTTCTGAGAAGTACCCGGTGAGAGGCGATCCGGTCCTTCTTTTGACCGCTCTTGAATCCAAAGGATCCAATCGCGGTAATCATTTTCCTTCCTTCAGGCTCCCGGTACAGAAGCCTGAAGGACTCCATCGCGGTCTCTGGCGTCGCTGTCAGCACCCGGACAGCAGCGGCCTTGTTCTCTTCAACCCAGGCGACTGCGCGCCCGGGGAAGGTTTCTTCCTTCTCCGCTGCTTCCCTCTTGGCCTCAGAGACTTCATCCATGAGCCGGCCATTCTCCTCCTTCAGCTGAGAGATCTCGGTCTTCATGGCCCCGGCTAGCCCCGACAGCCTGATCAGCTCATCAGCCTGGCTCTTCAAGATGAGGGCCATCTCCTCCTTCTCCTTCTTCAGCCGGGCAAACTCCGAGGGAGAGCCTAAACCAAGCCGGTCAGCTGTGAGGGGTCCAATCTCCCCCGCCTGCACAAGAGGAAAAATAAGCCCGGTAAGATTGGAATAATAACAAAAACAAAGGGATCAAGACCGGGATAGCAGCAAAACTTACCTCCTTCAGCCTCAGCCCCAGATTGACGAAAGCCTCCTCGATGGACTGGTCGGCCGGCTTAGGATCTGACCTTGCCCTCTTCTTAGCGTAAGAAGGGTGCGTGGTGGCCACCTTTTTCGTCCGACGGCCGGTCTTTTCCTTTTCCTTCCCCTTAGACCGGTCGTCTTGGGGCTCCTCTTCGTCAAGGATTTCCACGGTCTCTGGATTGACCGGGAAGGTCCTGGCAGTGTTGGTTTGGGAGCCCCCGGTCTCCCCCGCTGGTTGGTCGTCGGGGATGGCGAACTCTTCGACCTCCATATCTGCAAAAGGAACTAAAACCGTTATATACAAGTAGTTTGACCGGTCAACTACGAATCACAAGAAAAATGAGAAATACCTGGGTGGTTCTGGCCCTCAGCCTCTGCAGTGTTGCCCGGGGAGGGTACCCCGCGCCCCGCTGCTTCATGGGCCTGGGAGGTACCCTCACCACCCGACTCGACCCTCCAGACCCAGCTGCCGTAGTGGAAGACCCTCCCGGTGTATGGATCGCCGCGCATAAGGACCTCAAGACTTGCTTCCAAGTCAGGGGAGGAAGCCGGTGCAGCATACTCTTGGTCGAGGAGATGGTCATTCCATTTCAGACCGGCCAGAGGAGTGACGAAGGGGGGAAACTCGATAAAAACAAACTTTTCCTTCCATCCCCGGTTACTCTGGGGGACTTCGGAAATGAACTTCCTACCGGTACGTGCTTTGAAGAATACAAAACCTTCGCAGCCAGATCCGCCCGGTAGGACTTCAAAGCAAAAGAGAAAAAGACGCAGAGAGGGGAAGATTTTCAAATGAGTACAGATATTTACAAAGGAATGGAGATACCGGTGGGCGTTAGGTGTTATTTGATCGGGCAAAATCCTAAACGCATGGCAAACTTCGGTAAGGAGGGGGCGAAGGGGAAAAACTATGCCCGCATCTAGTGATATGGTATGGAACCCTATCCTGTCCTCCCGGTGGGGTTCGACAATGTTCGGCCAGTTGGGTTCATACAGGAGGGTATACCCATCCGGGAGCCTCCTACGAATTTTGTTTAAGGCGATTTTGGATACACGGGAAGGGATGTCAAGGACGTAGAAGGTGGGGAGCGGAAAGTAACCGGCAGCATGAAGCCGTTCCTCCCATGCATCCCGGGTTTCGTTTTCAGGGACATAGGGGCCCGGTTCATCATCGACCGGGTCATCCCTCCCCACGAAATTTTCACCGGGCATCTGGTTAACAGGATGCGGGTCGGGAATAGAAGAGTTGGGAACCTGACCGGGCGTGGATTCAGGAGAAGAAGACTCGGTCGAGGAAGATGAGTTGGAATCCTCAGAGGAGCAGTCCTCTGAGGACGAGATCCTATCGCTAAACGAAGACATGGCCGGGAAAGAAGAAAGAGAAGGAAGGGGAAACTTACTTGACTCGGAGGGCTGGATAGCAAAGAGAAGGAACTTGACCGGTGAAAGCTCTAAGACTTGATCGCGGAAAGTGAACAAAGAAGAGGGGTGGAGGCCTTTATATAGGGAGAGGAGGGCTGAAAGGAGCGACGTGGCCCCTTCAGGTTGCGCCGCGTCAGGCGGCGCAATGATGACCAACTGGCAGGGAAACGACGGGTCTGCAGCCGACTGATTGCAACAGTTGATGCGCGACACGTGGCAAAAATCAGAGTTTGAAATTCAAATTTCAAAAATTTTAGGCGGGAAGAGCCAAAATCTCAAAATTGAAGTCCTTATTCAGACTTTTTACTTCCCGCTCATGACAAATTGCATGACCGAGAAGTGGGGGGCTTATTGATGGGTGTATTCCACCCACGACCGGTCAAAGGAGAAGACCAATTAGTTGACCGGTCAATCTCGAAAGTTTTGAAGGGAGACTTAAATCGTTAGCAAAACGATATATAATCAGCCAAAAGATGACCGGTATACTTCACGAAAAAGTATACCGGTCAAACTACGTTGTCATGTTATTTGTTCCCAGACTTCGATGAATTCATCCCTCGGAGATTACCCGGTGTAGTTTCTAGGGTTGGAAAGTGTCGGCAGAAGAGAATCTACGAGGGCTTGGCGTGTAGCGACCCATGTCAGTAGAGGACAACTGGAGATGCTGAAGAATCCATCCAAGGCACTACTCGACAAAGGGAATAATCCCCCTCACAAGGCGACAAGGCAGCTCAAGGACGAAACTAGTCACCTCGCACCACATCAGCATCGAGCCCCCACGTGGGCGCACGTGGTCCTGTCCCCTTAGCCTAGTATAAATACTCATGTAAACCCTAGAAAGAGGGATCCGAATTCATTCTCTCTAAACTCCCTTGTAAAAGCACCCGTGCATTCTCCGTTATAATATAAATTGGGCTACAGGTGTTCCACCTAAAGTCCTACCGGTCATTTTGCGTGTTTTACCTTTCTTACTTTGCCAAATCAAGCAAACTATTCTAGACCCGGTCTAGTATAGTTTGACCGGTCAAGTAATTTACACCATCACTAGGAATTCCTCGTTGAAGACCAACAATTGCAATGATCTATCCGCATCACGATGAAATTTCAAAGATTACCCAAACCTATCGGCCAAGATGGGACGTAGTCCCTCTAAGAAGCTGCCCACGAAGGGATGCCTTCGCATAGCTAGTTAGCAGGCTGAGGTCTCGTTCATTAACGGAATTAACCTGACAAATCGCTCCACCAACTAAGAACGGCCATGCACCACCACCCATAGATTCTGCTTCCTCATTCTTGGGTGAGCATTTCTACCTGTGATTTTGCCCTTTCGCGCTCTAGGCTGATAACGGTGCCCAATTCCTCTCTCGCCTTACTGTTCATTATCTTCTTCAATGACTCTTGGTCGTCTTTTCTGATTCTCCCCTGCTACTATGGGTTCCGGCAAAGCCCAGAGTGGTAAGAAGACTAAGAGGAAGGTTCCCAAAAGCCCCAGGAAGAAAGGGGCTGAAGAAGATGCTACGAAGGTCTCCAGCTTGGCTACGGATATAGCTATGCAAGACCTTGAGAAAGAAAGCGCCTAGACTGCTTCTTCCTCGTCTGTAATGTCCCCTCCTTCTATTGAAGTTGTCCCGGACCTCGCTCCTCAGGTTGATACAACTACTGTGCAGAACACCCCCCAGGTGCTTGACAAAATGCCTAAACCAGAAAAGGCTGCTGTCAAACCTGTTACCTTTGCTGACCTCTTCAAAGGTAATAGGGACCCTTACCAAGGTATGGTTTTGAAGCATTATGATGTTGGTGAAGGCTATCTTCATATTCCAGATTCTGTTATCAAGCCTATTGAGGAACTGTGGGGCTTTTGCCTAGTGGGGTGCTTCACTGGACGTTTTCCTAGTCTCAAGGCTGTTGATGCCATTGTCAAGAGTTGGAATGTATCTTGTAGAATTATTCCCCATTGCAAGGGCTGGGTTATCCTTGAATTTGAAACTGATAGTGATAGAATGGAGATTCTTGGCAGGTAGAGGGATAAAGCCTATGGAAAGGAATTTAGGCTAAAAATTCCCTCTCATGGTTTCATGTTTGACTTTGCTGAGTTTACTACGCTTCCTGTTTGGGTTCAACTTCATAATGTACCCATGCAATTATGGTCAGAAGAAGGCATTGGGATGTTGGCCTCAAAAGTTGGGAAACCCTTAAGGACTGACCTTGTCACCAAACAGCATAGCAAGGGTGGTTTTTGTAGAGTGCTTATTGAGGTGGACTTCTCAAAACAACCTGTGACTCAATTTGAGGTTTTCAGCATGGGTAAATCGTACACACAAACAGTGGAGTTTAAAGAAGACCCAAAATACTGCTACCACTGCAAAACTTGGAACCATGGCCCCTTCCATTGTAGAGCCTTGGAGATGAAAGGGAAACAGGACCTTGCTGAGCTGGAGGCTAAACAGACTGAGGGAATGGCTAAACCAAAGGAGCACAATGGTCCTCCTGGGAATGCTGTCTCTAGGGAGTGGGTTCCAACAGGGAAGATTAATACTGAACCAAAGGGTGGGTTTGTTGTATTTAGGTGCCCTAGCGGCAATCAAATACCTATGTAACTGTACACTTTATCATGAATGAAAGGCCTTGAAGTATGTTTTATATCTCGTGTAACATAACATAGCTTCAGTCCATAGACGATAGCGCTTCAGTAACATAGATGAGGACAACGATGTTCTGATTATGAGACTGTTACTTCTTGACGAAGGCTATGTCTAGAATATCCCTAGTCGCACTTTATGATAATATGGACGTCATAACGTATCAAGACTAGTACGTACGAGATGAGATAGTTGCGTCTCATAGACTATAGGTATTGTGATATCTTAATCTGTACGTAGGTGCATATTATATTGATAATATGTGACTGGATTGACCCATCTTGAGAATACTGCATGGATCTACAGTAATGTGTTTATCAGTATTCTCAAATCGACCTTGCTATAACTATCCTCAGACTTGAAGTTATTACATTCTCTGATATGTGGGGCCGTATGCTTTGATTCATAACTAATGCTATCTGAAATACTGGTAGACGTACAGTTATGCGTTGGGTATGCCGCTAAGCATATATAGAGATGTGAATAACAGATACAGGATCTGTCCCTTCTACTGTATAGAAGTATAATGTCAATGGGCCCACTGAATAGTAGGACTTGGGAAAGTGCATGGCCATGCCCAGATATGTCGCTATCTAGAGACTGATAAATATCTGATCCCTGCCAGTCTACTTGAGATTCAGTAACAGCTGATTTAA